CCCCCCCCCCCCGGGTATTTGCACAGGTTTCATTTTGTTGCCAGCAGAGGACAGAGGTCAAAAAAAGCAATTTCACCACCGGTCGGGTGTAAACCTCTTCCCCCAAAGCTCCCCCCCAGCAAACCCCACAGCTCTCACCCCCCTGCCCCTCTCTCCCCACAGCTGCTGGGGACCTGGCTGTACGTGGCCGGGGCTGCCCAGTTCCCCCAGCACCTCCTGGAGATGCTGCTCATGGACCACGGCCACCTCCTCGTGGAGCCCGGTGCCGGCGAGCGGGAGCTGCTCATCACCCAGAGCGTGGCCGTGTAAGGTCCAGCCCTCAGGTCCTCCTGCCCCCAACCATCTCCTCCCACACACCACAGGCCCCACAACACGAGATGCCAGCGTGGTTTCAGGCTGGTTTTTCCAAGGAGAGAGTCTCTCCAGTTTCTCCCTGCATGCTCTCCCCTCCCCTCTCTTCCCCACCCCTTCTTTTATTTAGTTATTTCAACAGCCCCCGGGGTTTAGGCAAATTTTACAGGGCACAGAGGTCTTGCAGGCACCAACCCCTGGAGGGGTGGAGGACACAGGCAAGGAGAACACCTCTCCAGAGGAGAAGACCTTTCCAGAGATCCCTTCGCCGTGGCTGCTAACCCTGCCGGGCACATAAAACTGCTTTCCCTGTCCCCCCACCCCAGGGTCAGACTTTCAGGAGATGAAAGATGAAATACTTTACTGAGAGGGTGGTCAGGCACTGGACCAGCCTGCCCAGGGAGGTGGTGGAGTCACCATCCCTGGAGGTACTTAAGAAACGTGTTGATGGGGCTCTTCAGGGCATGCTCTAGTGCCCGAGATTATTGGTTTGTGGGTGGGTGTGATGTGGTGGGGTGGTGTGTTTTGTGGTTGGGTTTTTTTGGTTGTTTGTTTTTTGTTTGGGTTTTTTTGTTTTTTTGGGTTTTTTTTTTTAAGGTTGGAGTCGATGATCTCAGAGGTCCCTTCCAACCGTGGTGATTCTGTGAATTTTTCTGTGCCAACACAAGCAACTCTTGGCAGCTTCAGTTATTTCAGGGTGGAAAATATCTCCCCACCAAGGAGCTGGGGCAAGGGCAGGGCTGAGAGCATGAGCTCCAGGTGGAGGTCAGACAAACACATGGGAGAAATTTTAATAATTAAGAGAGAGCGATTAACCCTCTGGAGGAGCTGGCAGGTTTCTGTGCGGGGCCGGGGCTTTGCTGGTCCTTTCCAGCCCATGGCAGGGGGGTCACCACTGCCCCACATCACCCCTTCCCCCTCTCTCTCTGCAGGGGTGACCAGTGTCTCACCAACAACTCCACCTACTTCGAAATCACTGCCGGTAACACCACCCTGGTGAAGCACGGTGAGTAGCAACGGTGGGTGCAGCAATCAGGGTCATCACCTAGGACGTTTTTTGGAGAGGCTGAGACATGCAAAGGGCCCCTGTCCATGTTTTACATCACCTGACACATTCCCAGGTCGCTTTGTCCATTTGAAGTCAAGGTTTGAAGCCAAGGCCAGGCTGGATGGGGCTTTGAGCTACCTGGTGCAGTGGGAGGTGTCCCTGCCCAGGGCAGGGGTTGGAACTGGATGATCCTTAAGGTCCCTTCCAACCCAAAGCATTCTATGGTTCTGTGATAAGCCTTGGTGGACTCCAAATGGTTCCCCAGGGCTGGGGGCACCTGGGTTCAGCCCTGCTCCTGGGGATTGGGATTGTCCCCCACCATCAAGCTGCATTAAACCCTACAAAACGAAGTCATGCCAGGAGCAAACCTTAGTTCGCAATCCCTCAGGGAAAGGAGGGGAACATCCACGGCAGGTTTCAGCAAATTAATGAAGCCTCACGTTCTCAATTGTTTCCTCCTCCTCACTGAGGAAACGGGGTGAGCCACTGGGGTGGGAACTGCAAACCCCCCTGAGACAGACTTTGCACTGACCCAGCCGAGATGGCATTTCTGGGAGCACGGGACAGTTTCTCCCCTTTTTTGCAGCTCCCCAAGACCTGCTCACCCCCCGAGCACCAACCAGCCATCCAGCACAACGCCAGGCCAGGAGATGGGCGGCTTTGGCTCCTTCACACCCCAGGCCCACGTTTAAAAAATACAATTCAGACAAACCCAGAGCCAAATAACTCACACCACATCAGATCCCAGGGGCTGGGGGCATCGCCCGTGCCCTGGCTGTGGTTTATCACTCTGCAGCACCAAAAATCTGAATATCATGGCTTTTCCCAACCCCAATTCCGTTCTCTCAAAGCAAAGACCCGTCAAACTGTGGGGATGCTGGTGAACCTCAGCTCTGAAGACATTTTACTCGTCCAGTACCAACTGCAGAGGGAAAGGACGTATTTGGGACTCTATCTCTACGGTAAGCAAACTCCATCCTAAAGTAACCTAAAGCTATCATGGGATGATAAAACACACACGTAAAATTGCCAGCTACGACCACGCAGCAACTTGGTTTCACCAACAGTCAGTGATTTTCCTCAAACCGCCGCTCCAGGGGTCATGGGGAGTATTTACAAATCCCATTAAAGCCCGAATCTCTTGGCAGAGCAGGAACACCAAGTTAAAGACAAAACCCACTTACGCCATAAACGTGCAAAGATCAGGAAGCAAATACAGTTCAGCATCGATAGCATCGTAAATTCATCATATTTCCAAGCCAACCATGATTTTTTCAGTACTTTCCTCCCAGGGCAGAGCACGTGGCTTCGCAGCAGCAATGCCCATCAGATCTACCCACGAGCCCATAAAGCAGCATTTTAGACCTTGATAAGGCTTCCCATTGCCCTCCCAAGCTGTAAAGCAGTTCCTCAACAGAGTTGGGAGTCCCGTAGAGAAAACTGTCTCCATACTCAGCCTTGGTGTCCCCCCCCCAGTCCCCCCCAAGAGCATCAGACCATCCTGCAACCCCTTAAAGCAGACAAAACCAGAGCAAACTGGGGAGAGGGTGAAAAACAGCAATGCCCAAGGTTGGTTTTGTTCAGGTGTATTCACCAGGGGGGCAAGAGACCCCGGCAGAGACCACCTCCACAGCACGCGGTGGTGGGAGCACAAGGATGGGGGGCACCAAGGCCCAGGATGGGCCACCAAGCCATATTTAAACACCTGGTGAATGCTTCTCCTTCTACAGCCCGGAACCTGAGCGCCAGCACGGCCCACCGGGAGGAGATGGAGCTCCACACCAAGCACCTGGGGCTGGGCAAGGAGGAGATCGTGTACGCCCCGTGGAAAAAGGTGCGTGGGTGGGTGAGGGTGGGCAGAGCCACCGCAGCCCCCACCCTGGGCCAGGGGTGACAAGGCTGTCACCAAACTGGGGTCTCGGAGAGAGGTTGTCAAGGTGGTGGAAGCGATTTTGGGGACCAGCTAAAGGCAGGTTTGCTTTGAGAGCAACAGTGGTTTAAAAAAAAACACTCCCCCCACAGATACGTGACTCACCAAGGCAAGTACCTGCACCCCAGCATCTCCAGTGTGAGACCTCCTACGCTAGGGGGAAAACAGCTAAAGCAGGGGACTTTTGCCCTGAAATTCCTGATTTTGCCCTGGAATGCCTCACTTTGCCCCCCAGCAGAGGAGCCTCCCCTCCCAGGAGCTGCAGAGAGGGACAGGAGGGGTCAGTGCCTGGAGGCTCTGTCCAGCCCCACTTCAGCCAAAGCCATCATTTAAATCCCTAAAAACCTCGTGTTGTTTTCAGATTAGGATCTGTTTTTCTGGCAGCCCCAGGTGCAGGTTCACAGCCCGGCTGGCTGTAGAAGATCACACAAGCCTGTCCTTCTCCTGCCCCAGCGTGGGGGAGTCCAGCACCGGGGGCTCCTTTTGGGCTGGAGTCCAGCCCAGAGCTCTCGACCCCACAGAGCATGAGGAAAGCAGCAACACCATCTGCTTCTACAAAACCAGACTTTTTTTTCTTTAGTTTTTCCATCAAAACATTAACCAGCCCCAGCCTCTGCCAACTGATTTAGGACATTTTATCCTGCAAATGACCCAGTCCCCAAGCCAGCACAACAGGGTTCCTTTCACAAAGTGTGGGGTGAAAAAATACCTTACCTTTTCCTGCCTTGTCCTGGCCATCTGCTTGTCCATAACAGGAGATCCTAAGCTTCCAGAGGTGTCCCAAACCCCACTCTGAGCTGCCAGACTGGAACTGAAGTAGCCCCTGAACCTCAAAATGCTTCTTTTAGAGCTATCTCCCCCCAGGTTCAGGGGAACTGGGGACAGGGACACAGGCTGAAACCCCACTGGTGGGGCAGGGGCAGGTCTCGTCTCCCCGTCAGGCAACGAGCAGCACCTGGAGGCAGGGCCCATCTCCCCCAAATTAACTGCAGCTGCTGACCAAGGGGGGTTGTAGAGGCATCTGGGTCACATCTAAATTTGGGCCAGATGAGTGAAGTTTAGAGAAAGGCAGGGTGAGGGGAATGAGCCAGAACAGTTTGTCCTTACAATGTGAAATTGCTGTTTAGCAGAGAAGGGGTTTGTGCCTGGCCGAGGGGCAGGACACCGTGTCTGGGGAGTAAAGTGAAACCGCTTAAACAAACCCAGAACAGATTTTGGGGACATTTGTCACCAGGCTGAAGGAGATGGATGTGAACAGAGCACCCAAGCAGAGACTCAGGTACCCCTGTGTCAGCAAGACACCATGTCCTGCACGGGCAGGAGCTTTTTACTTATTTCTTGATTAAGGGATTGGAGCATCTCCCTGATGAGGAAAGGCTGAGAGAGCTGGGACTCTTTAGCCTGGAGAAGAGAAGGCTGAGGGGAGACCTTATGAATGCTGACAAGTATCTAAAGGGTGGTTTGAGGAAGGATGGAGCCAGACTCTTTCCAGTGGTTCCCAGTGACAGGACAAGGGGCAACGGGCACAAGCTGGACCATGGGAAGTTCCACACCCATGTGAGGAAGAACTTCTTTGGGGTGAGGGTGGCAGAGCCCTGGCACAGGCTGCCCAGGGAGGGTGTGGAGTCCCCTTCTCTGGAGATCTTCAAGATCCACCTGGATGCTCCTGAGTGATGTGCTCTGGGCAGCCCTGCTTTGGCAGGGGAGTTGGACTGGATGATCTTTAGAAGGTCCCTTCCAACTCCGACAATTCCATGATTCTCAGAAAGTTTGAATTCCCCTTTCCTTCAGAGCACACTGACCGACCCCACAGCACAGCTTTGCTGCAGAACCTGGTTTCCCCATCACAGCCCAGGGGTGGAAAAGGGCCCCAGCAGCAGCTCGGCACCCCGGGGAGAGGGTTCTGTGGCCAGGCAGCGTGGGGAAGCTACAGCTTCTCTAGGCCCTCCTGGGCTTATAATCTGATAAAAAGGAAAAGCAAAATACTCCTTTCTTCAGTAAATTCTCTCCTGCTGGTGCACTGACAGTTCCACTTACCCCATTATTGTTGTTTTGGCAGGAGCTGTGTCCAGTGAAAGAAATGGAGGAAGGAACCAGCCCGTGCACAGAGCCCACGGCTGCGGCCACAGCGTCCCCTCCTGCGGGTACCCGCCAGCCTGGGAGCACAGGCAATATCCAATAAACATCCAAACCCACCAATAATAATGACAATAAACATCCTCCTCAAAGGCTGTGGGTACTGTGACTGAGTGGAGAGCTGGGGGAGCTCAGGAGAGGGGCTTGGCAAAGAGGAACTGAACCCCCAGTTCACCCAGTGCGTGATTCGAGTGGGAGCTGGGAAGAGTCATCATTAAGGAATGGGGGATGCGAGACCAGGTGAGACCTGGAAGTTTTTCCAGCCCTGACTCAATTCTGCTCAGCTTCACAGGAGAGCTCTAAAAAACCCTTATTAGACTGGGACAGTAATAGAGGCTGACCAGAAGAGGGCAATCATTAACTATTTTAAACGAGTGCGCCGAGCGGGGAGTAAATGGAATTTTAAAAGGCTAGAAACTTCATCTTTAACAGTACAGTTTGAGAGGAAGAGGGTTTTTAGCTGGAAGCAACCACCCTGTTCTCTTGAGAGCAGCTCGGCTGCCAGAACTCCAGCTGGAGCAGATGTTCCTGCCCAAACCCTCTTGGAGCTTCCCGAAAACGTTCATCCACAGCAAGGTTTGCAACACGAACCCATGACACCGAAAAAAATTATCCTCCTGCCAGAGAGGGAGGGGGTGCTAACCCAACCCAGGCTGGATTTTTGCTCCACCAGGGAAAAAGGCCACGTTTCCTCCTTTCCCCATGAGCTCAGCAGGCTGGAGGTGAGAAGGTTGAAGTGCCACGATTGACGTTGCTCCCCGTGTCCCCCCTGGACTCATCAGGCACCTCACACATCCCTCATCCCACCCCCAGGAAAGCGCTGTCACTCTGGGTTGGTGAGGGGGTGTGGGGGGGAGTTTAAAAAGAGCCTGCTTTTGCTGCCTGTCTGGAAGGTAATTGAGTCTCAGCTCTCTAACCTAGTAATTAAGCACCGAAAATATCTCTCTTCCTTAAAAAGGAAGAAGAGGAGAGAAGCTGGAGGGAAGCAGAGGGCCCTGCTCCTCCCTCTGCGGCACCAGGGTGCCCTGTCCTTGCGTGGCCTCGTGCCCTGGGCAGAGTTTCAGCCTTTGGCCCGACTCCCACAGGAAAAAAAAAAAAATAATGAATTTTACAAGGTCAAGTCCAACCAATTCCCTCCCGGTCTCAGGGTGCGGGTACACGGGCAGCCCTTGGCTTTGGACACATCTTTATCAGCCTGTGACGCGAAACAGAACCCCCTTCCCTGGAGCAGGGAGACAGTTAAAGGGCAGGAGAGGACAGGGGAGGGAGAGGGGATGGAGCCCACACCGCTGGAGAGCAGTGGCTCACATTACAAGGGCCCAGACGTTACAAGCAGATTTATAGCTGAATAAAAGCCTTGAATTACAGTCGGAGACACAAGGAACTGACAAACCCAGTTTGGCCCCCGCAGCGAGTTTTGTTAACCAAATCGGGGACCGGCTATAGCTCCTGAATGACCTTCAAGGATAGCTCCTGCTTGTTATTTGTTTGGGGTTTTTTTTGAGAAAAAATATTGTACAAAGCCTTCCTTTTTACGAATGACCTTCAAGGATAGCTCCTGCTTGTTGTTTGTTTGGGTTTTTTTAAGAAAAAATATTGTACAACGCCTTCCTTTTTAAAACCCAGTCTCCTTTAAGGGCTTAATTAGACTGCAGAGCTTCCAGCTTTCTCTTCCCTGAACGGAGAGTTACGGATACTGCACAGAGGAGCAAAGTCCAGCTGTGCTCAGAGACAGGTTACCAGCACCTGAACATCCCTGACTCACCACCACCATCATTAGCCTTGCTCTCTTTTGCCCTTAATAATTCTGTTCTCAGAATACAGAATACAGGTCTTCATGAGAAGCTGGAGGGAAGCAGAGGGCCCTGCTCCTCCCTCTGCGGCACCAGGGTGCCCTGTCCTTGCGTGGCCTCGTGCCCTGGGCAGAGTTTCAGCCTTTGGCCCGACTCCCACAGGAAAAAAAAAAAAATAATGAATTTTACAAGGTCAAGTCCAACCAATTCCCTCCCGGTCTCAGGGTGCGGGTACACGGGCAGCCCTTGGCTTTGGACACATCTTTATCAGCCTGTGACGCGAAACAGAACCCCCTTCCCTGGAGCAGGGAGACAGTTAAAGGGCAGGAGAGGACGAGATGGAGCCCACGCCACTGGAGAGCAGTGGCTCACATTACAAGGGCCCAGACGTTACAAGCAGATTTATAGCTGAATAAAAGCCTTGAATTACAGTCAGAGACACAAAGAACTGACAAACCCAGTTTGGCCCCCGCAGTGAGTTTTGTTAACCAAATCGGGGACCAGCTATGGTTCCTGAATGACCTTCAAGGATAGCTCCTGCTTGTTATTTGTTTGGGGTTTTTTTTGAGAAAAAATATTGTACAAAGCCTTCCTTTTTACAACCCAGTCTCCTTTAAGGGCTTAATTAGACTGCAGAGCTTCCAGCTTTCTCTTCCCTGAACGGAGAGTTACGGATACTGCACAGAGGAGCAAAGTCCAGCTGCGCTCAGAGACAGGTTACCAGCACCTGAACATCCCTGACTCACCACCACCACCATAAGCCTTGCTCTCTTTGGCCCTTAAGAATTCTGTTCTCCCAGGTCTTCACAGGGAGAGTCATTCCCAGCATCAGTGTCCTTGGTGAGAATCCTCCCAGGAGGAGACTGGCCACAAACAGCAGCAATAACCCCTATTGAGGAAGAGACACAGACACGGGATATCTCTTTGACAGACCTTTATTAGCAGACTGTTCCCTACATGAAGAATCCGAGTTAGATTTGCATTATAACAATTTGTGGTTACAGCTACAAAGATGGTTGTCATTTTGCATTGATTTTTGCATTCTGATATTCATATTCCCATTTAGGCCACACTGGTAGGAAGGAGCCACTGCAGAATTTATGACAGGTCTCAAGAAGTGGGGGGGTGGAAAAAAATCATATCACTAATGCAGATTGGTCAGATTTCCGTGTGACTAATTACTGACAGCACTGGGTAGTCAAGGAAGAGCCTCACCTGGAAGGCTCTCCATGAACCACCAAAAGCTGTCAGCAAGCGTAGCTGCTGAGTGCTGGCAAATCCTTTCCCAATTTCTCTCCTGTTCCTCCAGTGCCCGCTTCTACGTGAAGAGCACCGGCTCAGCAGCAGCTCTGCTGATTCAGCCTCAAAGTGCAACTGCAGCAGCTTGTGTCCAAGTGCAAGTTTCCTTCCATCTCTCTGGAAACTTGTGTTTTTTCATTTAGTCCCTGAGATTTCTCCCCTCCCCCCTTACCTAATGATTCCCCAAGACCGCTCTCCATCAGCCGTTGTGACCTCCAACATACACAGACCTTCTACTTCCCACCTCCAGCCGTCCACCTGAAACCCTTCCAGCCACGCACAGAGGCAGTTCCAAAATAAGGCGAGCCTCAGGGTGCACCCTCTTCCCCCTCCTCCCAAAGCACTGCTTCCTCACCACTTCCCTTCTCTCCTATGGCTTCTCACTACTGAATTTCTCTGGGCTGAGGTCCTCCAGCAACAACCCCAGACGTGGGAAAGGCAGCTCGAGCCCCAAAGGGAAGGTAGGCAACGGCCTCTCACATCCCTCCCCACGGCTCAGCTGTGTGATATAAGAGAACAAACAGAGAACTTTTTTAAAACAGGAGAAATACAAGCACAGTAACAATATTTAAACAAGTCTATAAAAATAGTCTGACATAACTCTGTTCAAATAAATACAAAATAAATATGCTTTAAGCAGTAAAACAGTGGAATGCAACGCTGGTCCATTTTGCCCAAAACGAAAAGTTGGATGAGGATCTCCCAGGCCTCAGAAGCCAGATCCTATCAACTAAAGTAGCCCATAACACAGAGAAATTTTAAAGCCGCCTCTTTCCCTTAGCCTTATGAAAAGCACCCTTTGAAAGAAAAGCAAACACGTCTTCAGGACTGAAAGCTCAGCTCTCCCAGTGACCACCAGCCCCTCTTCCCTAACAGCCCTTCCCACAGCAGACATACTCCTGGCTTGGGGACTCCATCCCGCTAATGCAAACCCGAACATCAATCTACAAAGAGGTCTAAAGAGATAGATAGCAGCGTAGGCACGGGGTTTGGGAAAGGGCCACCTCGGCACCAGGCAGAATGGAATTCAGAGGTCCATGCAGCGCCGCGCAGGGGCTCTCATGTCGTGCTGGGAGCACAACTGCACAGGAGCTGTGAAATAATTGTCTTTTGTTGACTAAAGCCATGCATCAAGGTGCCAGTCCATCCAGGGCTCTCCTGCCTTCCCCTTTCCAAGCCCCTGCTGAGTATAAGACAAGCCAATCCCGGCATGCAAAGGATACAGGCATGCAGGCTCCGGTCTGCTGCTGCTGTTAGTAAGTGCATCTTGTTAGTGGATTTATGAGACACACTTAAACCTATAAAAAAATAAATAATCCTAATTCTTCATCAGGCTGGCCTAAGTAACCTTCAACCTGACCAGATAATAAACCACTGCCCACCAGCCCTCAAAACCAGTATAGTTCGAAGTTACATTTCATGTCAAGTCTTGGAAGCAGAACATGAATGTCTCCTACCCAAAGGAATATATGTAAACATAACGACAAGCCCGGTGTGGCAGAAGCTCCTACACAAGGTTTGTACAAATTGAAACAACGGGTAGGAAGTTAAACAACTGAATGGAAAAAAGAAGCTCTCTGAATGGAACAAGAAGCTCTTTCGGCAAGTCAGAAGGTGCTCATCTGCAGGCAAACAGCTCTGCATGCTCAATATGCTGAAAGCAGACCTGTTACCCAAATCTTTGCTCTCTGCCATCCTGCTGGGAACTGACCTCAGCAACTCATGCTTTAAGCTACTTCCCAGGAGTTCACCCCCTGGTCTCCCAAGAGGCCCAATGAAAAGGACCACGTGATGGTTTCTGTGGAGCTCTGAGTAGCAAGATGGCAAAGGACACCAGATCCTCCCCTCCCCCTTACTGACTCACAAACGATCTGAGATTTCACAGCTTTGCTTAGTCAGCTTAGTGTCGACACATTCACAGAATGAGAGATGGCTATACGTCTTGGGATGGCACCCCAAGATTTCAGAGTTCAAAGTCCTCGGCATCTCCTGGTCACCGTGACTGCACGCCCAGAGTCATCTTCAAGTTCTCATAAACCACGTAGCTGATGCTGACAGCTGGGATCACCTTCATAAAGTTGGGGGCCAGACCCCGGTAAAGACCAAACGCTCCCTCTGTCTTCAGAATGTGTTTAAACAGTCCCCTCATCGTCACTTCAGGAGCACCCTCCACTGAAGCTGCAATAGAGAAAGGCACAATAAATAACACAGTCTCCTTGGTGACACCACCTGTCCCAAAGAGCAGTTCTGATTCATGTGCTTCCTATGGATGTTGACAGAGCAAAGGTCCTTCACGGGGGACAGCATCTAACTTCTCAGCCAGCCACGGCCGTGCTGTACATCACAAATATTTTCTCCAACTGCTCTGCAGATGCCCTCAGCCCAAAACTCCCCATCTGAGCAAAACAGAGCCTCTGTCCTGGAGGTGCTTGGCCCCAGATTCTAAGGGCAGCTCAAAGTCCACTGTCCTCTTGCAGCGTGGCAAATAGCCTACTGCTCAGCTGCACGGGCCAGTTGAGGCTGCTGTTGCAATGTTGACACTAGAGGACCTTTACCCTGCTCACGGACCGTGACAGGAGCTCCCACAGTTCCCAGAAGTTCTCACCTTGGGCCTGCATGCGTGTCCTCACCAAAGCCAGCGGGTAACTGGCGAGCTGCCCACAGGTACTGGAGATGGTGCCACAAGCCAGCAGGACAAAGACTCCGGGGTCGGCGCTGTTGACAGCATAACGTTGCAACCAGGCATTTTTTAGTGTCTGGAAGGAAGAGGCCAGATGTGAGCAGTGAAGAGGCAATCAAAAGAATATCACGTTACATAAGGGATCTAGCGTAAAGGCCCAGAAAGTTGACAGCATAACGTTGCAACCAGGCATTTTTTAGTGTCTGGAAGGAAGAGGCCAGATGTGAGCAGTGAAGAGGCAATCAAAAGAATATCACATTACATAAGGGATCTAGTGTAAAGGCCCAGATAGCTCTGTGCAAGCTCAGCCAGAAGCACTCGGCTTTTCCAATCTTTTTGAGCTGCTGCTACTGTAGTGCCCAGGGAAAATCCCTTCTTTAATTTGCTACTGCAATTTGTTCATAAGGAAGGAAACAAGGGACCACGCATGATGTTGAAAAGAGAATCATTGAATTGGATTATTCTTTTAGGCCATTTGAAGTAAAAAAATCCATTTGTGCCTCATAAGGCTGATCAGAAAAGCTTTGATAAATTACTTAAACTCCTGTAGTAACTGACAGGTCTGACAGTGATAAAGCAACACGAGCAGCACAGCCCTACAACGGGTTCAAGGCTTCATACCTCATAGACTGCCAGGTCAATGCCAGCATAGGGAATGATCCCCAGCATGTTGGGGATGTAGCCTTTGTAGAAGGCAGCCATTCCTTCCTTCGAAAGGATGTTTTTGGCACAATCCAACATGCCCGAATATTGTCCTGTCTTCCTTAGAGCCATCCGGGTTTTCAGAACCTAGAAAACAAGAATAGATACCATGAAGGCCTACAGGAGAAAAACATATAGACAATGTCATTCTAAAGAGCGTGATGTCAGGACTACAACAGGAGTCATGCAAGCAGTGTTATGTGATATCACCTCAAAGAATTCATTAATTAAGCTATCGTAGTGCTGGTGTTCTACCCACATTTTCCCACCTCAGCACCTTGCCATGACCCCCCAAAAGTCCCTGCCTCACCTCCATGGGGTAGATGCTGCTCTGTGCAATGGCCCCAGCCAGGGAACCAGCCAACAGCCGCTCGTGAATCCTCAGCATTTCTTGGTCAGTACCAATGAACCGCTTGATCTGTAGAAACCAAACCAGACAGACATTGGGGCTCATTGACTTATCTCAGCTGTCTTTTTCTTTTTTTTTCTTCCCCAGCTTGTCCTTTTGCAGACCCTTCTGCAGCCAGACTGCTCTGTGCCCTTTTCCTCACCTGCTCATAGGCCATGAACTTAATGGCAGATTCCGGTGCGATCTTCAACACGTTAATGCCGTTCCCTCGCCACAGTGACCTTGGCCCACCCTCTCGGATCATTTGAGTGAAACCACCAACGATGCACATGTTGTTACTGCGGGAGGCATGAACCTGGGAGACAGAGAGCAGGCTTGGATTACTTCCAGTCCTGATTACGACAGTGCTACGTTTTTCAGTAATCCAGGGACAAAAGGGCGCTTTTTTTATTTACCCAGAGATTTGCCAAGGCTTTAATCCCTTCCAGATAACTTCCACAATAGGAAAGCAACCTTCTTTTCTTTTTTTGCCAAGTCTAGTGTTAACTAATGAACCTAATCAATACCTTCTCCCCCTAGAATTGGAGGAAAGGTTAAATAGGCAACTCGCATACCTAGCATAGGATCAGCTACCCAGGCTAAACTTCTCAGCTGGCTCAAGAGCAGGTGCAGTAACAAAACAGGCTAAAAATCAAGTTTTTCTAACTCCTTTCTAAAGCAGATAATACTTATAACTGAGTACGAGCTCTGCCAGCTGACCACCACAACCACTTCAAATCTCACAGCCTCAGGGTCTCTCATGGGAACACAAGACTTGAAGCTGTTTCACCAAAGCCCAAGTTTTCCAGCGCTCTAAAAACTCAACATTCTAACTATTGACAGTTTTCACATGTCTACCTTCCAAAATTCTCTGTAGTTTTTCTAGTCAATGAAAAATAACTTTTTAACATGACTTTGATCATTCAAATAATCCCAAAAGTTTTTTGACAGTTTTCACATGTCTACCTTCCAAAAGATTCTCTATAGCTTTTCTAGTCAATGAAAAAATGACTTTTTAACATGACTTTGATCGTTCGAATAATCCCAAAAGTTTCCAAAAATAGCAATATGAGATTAATGGGATAAATCCTGGCCAGAGTGCTGTACCGTGCTGATGAACGTTATTATCTCTTGGGCATCTGAGGATATTAAAGGAATCTGCCTGGGTATCCAAACAAACTGGAACTGCCCTGTCATACCTGCATGAGCACTTTCAAGCGGTCCAAGGGAGCAGTACAGGTTCTGGACACGGCACCTGCACCTCCACCTGCAACCAGATGTCTCCACCACATCCCCGTCTGTCTCTCTTCCACCGTGAACTCATCAGGGACGGTCAAATTCTCTCCTACATCAAAGATCTGCAAAAGTGTAAGGTGTTGAGAAATGTTTCATCAGCTACTGATCTTGCCAAAGTTTTACTGCTCTTTATCAGTGCCAAGTGTTGAAGTCAGCAGTTTATCTGTGGCCAGTAACCGCTGTGTCTGGCGACAGGAACTGCTGCTGCTAGAGCAAGTCCCAGGGGGAACCTTCACATTCAGAGATTTCTGTCCAAGAAGCTGGCAACTGCTGAACATTTCTCTGCATTAAAATATCATGGATCACGGTAAAGAACAAAATGACCAACTGTGGGCAGCTGCATGGCAAAAAAGCTGGAGTTCTCTAGAACCTTCCAAGCTCGCAGCCAGTTTAATCTCGTTACATGCTATTTACACACACTGAAATATCTCCAGGCTGCCCGTCAAATCAGTTTCTAGTCTTAACAGGTCCTGAACCAGCAGGCGCTGGCCACTGGTATGAGCTCTCAGAGGTGCAAGCCAAGTGAACACCCTCATCTTCTTGCAGAATGTGCAGTTATCACCAGCGCCAAAGGCTTCAGAAGCCGTGCCAGGGGTAGGTGGCAAGATAACAGGACGGGAAGTGATTTGGCCTCTAGGGCCACAAGGCAGCTACTGAACCATGAAGAGAGAGATAGGGACTGCTGATAGCAGCTCCTGGGGGTCAGGACTCTGACTAAGAAACTGGGCAATGACCAAGACCTGTTGAGGAGGAACCATTTCTTACCGTGGAGTGCTTCCAGTACAGGATGATTTCAGGAATGTTCTCCACTGGGTGCAGCAGGTGATAGTCTCGCCACTCATTCCAATCAATTGTCATTGTCCCGTTTTTATCCATGCTAAAAAGATTTATCATTAGATGAGTACAGACTCCCACTGGGTGACAAATTCCTCCTCCCCTTCCCTTTCAATATTCAGGCCTACGCCAAAAAAAGCTTTGCAAAGCAACTACTAAAAGACTTCTAAAGAGACACGAGACAAAGCTAGGAAATCTTCTATTCACTAAACACTGCAGAGAGGTGGAAGTGGGCTCCCTTTTTTCTCCCCTCTCTCCCCCTTAACTGACCCACAAGAATAGTTGCACCCTCTCCTACCAAACTTAGGGACATAACTGACACTGAAGGGAAAATAATACTTACTAGGTGACAGGACCCCAGAAGTGTCCCGTCCTTATTCTGACACACAGGCAAACAGACAGAGGGAAGGTAGCAGAGGAAAGAAAGAGGAAAAAACAGCACAAATAAGTGGTTGTTAACATGTTAGTGCCACATGCATAAAGCATTTAGCATTTTTGAAGAGCAGCGGCACAGTCCCTCTCCAAAGCAGCAAGCTGAGGGCAGCAGGACAATCAGACAGGGATGCAAATCAGCTCAAATGCAAGCACTTCCCCACAACAGGTCAGTAAGATAAGAGATTGTGGCAATAACTCTCCATAATGTATTACGACATTACAAGCATCAATTCATGGGGTGGGAGGGAATCAAAATTAAGAGTAACAGGCAAAAAGGAAGGAGCTGAAGTCTCTGGAAAGTGTGTACAGGGCACAAAGAGGAGATGGGTTCCGTGTCCCTACACTTTCTTCTAACCCCCTCAACAGTAAAACAGAAGAACTAGCTGAATCCTCACCTCTTCAGGATTTTCTCAGCCTGCTGTTCAGAGATCTTGACCCCCAGGTCCCGAAGAGACTGCACAATCTCCTGGGCATCAATACGGCCTGCAAAGATAAGCCAGTGAGCTCAAGTATACGTAGTAAAAGCTAAAGCATGAAGTAGTCTAGTCATGAGCATAAGAAAAGTGTTTACCATCATTCTTCTTATCCAAGCTCTTGAAGACCAGTCTCAGCTTCTTTTCATGATCTTGGAGATAGTGAACAAACTCCTCAAAATCCAGCTGTCCATCCAGGTCCTTGTCTCCAGCCTTCACAATTTTCTGTTCAGAAAACAATCAAACTCTGTCAGTTCCTTTGTTCATTCAGCCAGAACTGCCTCTTCTTCCACCATATTTAAAGATCATTTCCTACATGACTGACTTTTCCTCCAGAAAGCAGCTGACAGAATTATAATTCCTCAGAGAAATATGAGCAGTAGTGTAGAAAAGACACCCGATTCCAGGCAACTGTCTCCCAAAGTTAGTTACGCAGATGAAATGCCTCGTGCTTTTATCAGGGATATTCTGCAGGTATCATGTGTCTAATCTCAGTCCTGTGTCTTGATTAACACCTTACAAAGCCCTTGTGGAGGTCCTTGAATTAAGTATGAGGCAACAGGTTTGCATAAAAAGTGAATCACAAAACTTCAGGTAATAAAAAAAGCCTGAACCGAAGAAGGAATTTCATGCCTCCTGCAATCCTTGGAGAAGTAAGGTCCCTCTGGCAATAACTAACCCCAACCAGAAAAAGCCTGTTCAACTCTAGTGGACACAGCCAAAGATAAAAACTCCTATGAACTGGTTTAGGCACCCTGGAGCTATGTGCTTTAATTATACAAGTTTCCAACAAGATGCATATAGAACAAGAAAAGGTTCTTAGTAGGACAAAGCTAAAATCAAGATCAGACTCTGTGCCAGACATCTAGGACAAGGTAAACGACTAATTAACTCACTTCAGCATGGGGCAACAGCAGACAGACTGTCCTATCTAAGGGCACGTGGCTACTTGTTGACAGGAGTGGTGATGTCCTGACTGCAAGAATGTGGCTCAGGGAGTTCCTATTCCCCTTCTTGTCCAGTCACTTGTCTTTGACAGCCTATAAGTCTTTTTCAACACGAATCGGTGAGCAATGCTAAATGAGGTGTGATTCAGTCTACTGCATCACCTACATTTTTGTTTTAATTCTGGTAACGTTTATGCGAACAGCAGGTGGGTTGTTAAGGAAGCTCTGAGCTGAGATCAAACACTGGGCTAACCCTCTGAGCACCAATATTTTGTGCAACGTTTAGGCTTCAAAGGTATAGGCAAACCTAAGCTTATTGTGTTACTTCCTCAGCCCGTGAGCACCAGTCCCCTTCAAGAGCATTAAGTCTTTGTCTCAATGCCATTCTAAATGACTTCAATATTAAATACTTCACTACTAAAACCCTCTCCCTCTCTCACCCCACCAAGTCCTGTCACTTTAGCCCTAATGCTATGAGGATTATTCCTAATCATATTATGAACCTTAAATAAGAAAGCGCTGTCCCAGCTGCCCTGACCTTTGAGGTGTGCCCAGTATTCTTAACCTGCAATTTATCATATGACTGTTGTAAAGTTCAGATATGACCCCACATTCAACTTGGAGGCTAAAGATAGACCAGCACCCCCCCCGGCATGTCAGCAGATTGGCTCTGAACAGCTGAATCAGGGCTTCCCTCTGACAGGCAACCCCCAACCAGTTGACAGGCGCTAATAATTGGGAGGCACTGTAAGAGAGATGTGACTCTGCAACTGCTCCCGTCCTCCCAGCGCGCCCCTGACAACCGCAGGGATGTGCTGGGAGAGAGCAGAGACTGCAGGGAACAGGAGCTCCTCACTCTGCTCACCGCCCTCCTCCATCCATCACAAGAACTGCTGCAAGCCTGCCCAAGTCACCCACGACACACGTGGGAAGGGTGAGAGAGCCACGTTCCCCGTATCTTTTCCAGAGATATCCATAAATATCCACCCGCAGCTCTTCGCCTTTAAGAGCAAATACAAAATCTCCGTAGGCAGAGCTGCTGGTTAAGAGCCAAACTGGCTGCAGATGTTTCTATGATCACCTGCGTAACACACCCCCCCTGCGGCAACGCTTTGGGACCCCACATCTCTTAAAGCCCCCTACATCCCCCTGTTGTGTGTCCACACAAAGGTATAAAAAGCCCACCCGGCTTTGCTGTTCAATGATCAGCTGTCTGGGCTCTGCCCCGTCAGGAAAATCCCAGCAGGGAGGGCTGGGATCAAACCAGTCGGAGCGTTCCGTGGATTCAGTGCATCTACCCTGGAGCTATGTGCTTTAATTATACAAGTTTCCAACAAGATGCATATAGAACAAGAAAAGGTTCTTAGTAGGACAAAGCTAAAATCAAGATCAGACTCTGTGCCAGACATCTAGGACAAGGTAAACGACTAATTAACTCACTGCAGCATGGGGCAACAGCAGACAGACTGTCCTATCTAAGGGCACGTGGCTACTTGTTGACAGGAGTGGTGATGTCCCAACTGCAAGAATGTGGCTCAGGGAGTTCCTATTCCCCTTCTTGTCCAGTCACTTGTCTTTGACAGCCTATAAGTCTTTTTCAACACGAATCGGTGAGCAATGCTAAATGAGGTGTGATTCAGTCTACTGCATCACCTACATTTTTGTTTTAATTCTGGTAACGTTTATGCGAACAGCAGGTGGGTTGTTAAGGAAGCTCTGAGCTGAGATCAAACACTGGGCTAACCCTCTGAGCACCAATATTTTGTGCAACGTTTAGGCTTCAAAGGTATAGGCAAACCTAAGCTTATTGTGTTACTTCCTCAGCCCGTGAGCACCAGTCCCCTTCAAGAGCATTAAGTCTTTGTCTCAATGCCATTCTAAATGACTTCAATATTAAATACTTCACTACTAAAACCCTCTCCCTCTCTCACCCCACCAAGTCCTGTCACTTTAGCCCTAATGCTATGAGGATTATTCCTAATCATATTATGAACCTTAAATAAGAAAGCGCTGTCCCAGCTGCCCTGACCTTTGAGGTGTGCCCAGTATTCTTAACCTGCAATTTATCATATGACTGTTGTAAAGTTCAGATATGACCCCACATTCAACTTGGAGGCTAAAGATAGACCAGCACCCCCCCCGGCATGTCAGCAGATTGGCTCTGAACAGCTGAATCAGGGCTTCCCTCTGACAGGCAACCCCCAACCAGTTGACAGGCGCTAATAATTGGGAGGCACTGTAAGAGAGATGTGACTCTGCAACTGCTCCCGTCCTCCCAGCGCGCCCCTGACAACCGCAGGGATGTGCTGGGAGAGAGCAGAGACTGCAGGGAACAGGAGCTCCTCGCTCTGCTCACCGCCTTCCTCCATCCATCACAAGAACTGCTGCAAGCCTGCCCAAGTCACCCACGACACACGTGGGAAGGGTGAGAGAGCCACGTTCCCCGTATCTTTTCCAGAGATATCCATAAATATCCACCCGCAGCTCTTCGCCTTTAAGAGCAAATACAAAATCTCCGTAGGCAGAGCTGCTGGTTAAGAGCCAAACTGGCTGCAGATGTTTCTATGATCACCTGCGTAACACACCCCCCCTGCGGCAACGCTTTGGGACCCCACATCTCTTAAAGCCCCCTACATCCCCCTGTTGTGTGTCCACACAAAGGTATAAAAAGCCCACCCGGCTTTGCTGTTCAATGATCAGCTGTCTGGGCTCTGCCCCGTCAGGAAAATCCCAGCAGGGAGGGCTGGGATCAAACCAGTCGGAGCGTTCCGTGGATTCAGTGCATCTCCCTAAGGGAAAGGCTCTTGCACAATTTCTCCCCCCCCCTGCTCCTTGCACAGCCCACCCACCGCAGTCGAGCTGCTCCCCAGATCATGGCCTGAACCTGCTCATCGTCACCATCATGGGGGTGAGACCCACATCGGCACGAACTGACATTAAATCCAATGTAATCACACACCTCCCGGCGGGAGCAGGGCAGGCGGAAGGGTGTAAGGAGAAAAAGGAACAGGATGTGAAACGTGGTACTGAAGCAGACCGGTTAAAGCAGAAGAATCCATAGCTTGGAAAACCCCTTTTTCTATTGAACTTGCATTAAATCGACTGGTTTAAATCTGAGAGGCACTGAGATCTCATGGGATTCAAGGCCAAAGAATCAAAAAGTCCTCTCCACGCTGCTTCAGCAGTCCCTGCCAAGAGAAACGTGTCCCTGCTGTACCCAGCTATTACCACAGAGTCACCATGAACTTCTCCCCCTCTGAGCAGCCACACGGGGGGTCGGAGACCACCCCTCCATCTCTCTCTCGCTCCCTCCCGTCCCTCCCTGGGGGCCATACCTGCTTCCACTGGCGGTAGGTAGAGAACTCCTGGGAAGGAATGAAGAGGCTGAGTCGGAAGATGGATTTGAGTTGAGCCGGCAGCCCCTTGGACTCAAAGTATTCAAACTCCGTCTGCGACTCCCCAAACACCGGCACATAGAGGCAGAGGCAGAGCATCTTTCTGAGCCGGAGACTCAGCTGCCCTGCTCAGACCGACTGGGAAGGGAAGTAAAACTGAATGATTCCCGGAGCTAATTTCAGTGCGTAGTGGAAAGGAAATGCCAGCGAGTCTCATGACACATGCCTATGAGCGAAGCCGGCTCGGGTGGGATTGGCTGTTCAAGCCCTGCCCTTCTACTTAAAAGGGAAGCGGTGGCTGTAAAGTCCCACCCCGACACCGGATTGAACATGTGAGCTCCTGCCCTTGCTCAACACCAGGCTCCCATTAAGCCCAGAGACCTTACAACACGCTCACCACAAGTTAACTCTTACCGGGCGTCTCACTTCACCCAAGAGGCTTTGGCCAACCTCCAAGACGCTCGCTGGCTGCTCCTTACATCCGATCCTTTCTGATCCTGGGCTCACCACTCTGGGGATTTACACACGCAGCACAGCAGGGACCGGTTTTGATCATAACCTCTCCCACCACAGAACACGAGGGGACTCTCACTGTCTTCCTCTTCCTAAAATTCTTCCTCTAAAACGCAGTAAAAGCAGGGTGCCCCCCACTTACTGCTTTCATACATGTTTGGGATATCAATCTTAAGCAAAAGCCTCAAAACTCCATTTTTATAATGTTACTTTGCTACACCAGAGTTGACCAGCTTTGGTTGGATGTCCTCCCAAAAACACTTGTGCCAGGCAGGAGCAGACAACCCCTGCATACCAAGACCTCTGCAGCTCTCCAGAGTTACTAATACAGGCGGCAATAAAGGCTGTAGAGAAGCCTTGCCATTGTGCTGGATACCCAGAAAACCACTAAAAAAAAAAAAATCAAGGGCAGGCTTCAAAACAGACCCAGCTGCTCCAAAGCCTCCTAGCTAAGCAGCCACACAGCAATTACAACAGCTTACTAGTTTTCCCTCCTCTCCCAACTACAATTAAACATCGCAGGCGGATATGGGCTATAATGAGAAGTGGCCCGGGCAGAACAACATCTTCCAGTTTCTAACCATTTACAGTTTAACTGCTTTGTAAGCGAGCTCCTGAGCTTTCATCAGGAGCAAACTGGGCTAAAGAGGGAGTGTGGCACATGCATCATTTAATGCAGATGTAATTACAGGCTTCTGAGCATTTAGTGGATGTCTCCTCCATCCATCACAAGAACTGCTGCAAGCCTGCCCAAGTCACCCACGACACACGTGGGAAGGGCGAGAGAGCCACGTTCCCCGTATCTTTTCCAGAGATATCCATAAATATCCACCCGCAGCTCTTCGCCTTTAAGAGCAAATACAAAATCTCCGTAGGCAGAGCTGCTGGTTAAGAGCCAAACTGGCTGCAGATGTTTCTATGATCACCTGCGTAACACACCCCCCCTGCGGCAACGCTTTGGGACCCCACATCTCTTAAAGCCCCCTACATCCCCCTGTTGTGTGTCCACACAAAGGTATAAAAAGCCCACCCGGCTTTGCTGTTCAATGATCAGCTGTCTGGGCTCTGCCCCGTCAGGAAAATCCCAGCAGGGAGGGCTGGGATCAAACCAGTCGGAGCGTTCCGTGGATTCAGTGCATCTCCCTAAGGGAAAGGCTCTTGCACAATTTCCCCCCCCCTGCTCCTTGCACAGCCCACCCACCGCAGCCGAGCTGCTCCCCAGCTCATGGCCTGAACCTGCTCTTCGTCACCATCATCAGGGCGAGACCCACATCGGCACGAACTGACATTAAATCCAATGTAATCACACACCTCCCGGCGGGAGCAGGGCAGGCGGAAGGGTGTAAGGAGAAAAAGGAACAGGATGTGAAACGTGGTACTGAAGCAGACCGGTTAAAGCAGAAGAATCCATAGCTTGGAAAACCCCTTTTTCTATTGAACTTGCATTAAATCGACTGGTTTAAATCTGAGAATCAAAAAAAGAAGGAAGTCCTCTCCACGCTGCTTCAGCAGTCCCTGCCAAGAGAAACGTGTCCCTGCTGTACCCAGCTATTACCACAGAGTCACCATGAACTTCTCCCCCTCTGAGCAGCCACACGGGGGGTCGGAGACCACCCCTCCATCTCTCTCTCGCTCCCTCCCGTCCCTCCCTGGGGGTCATACCTGCTTCCACTGGCGGTAGGTAGAGAACTCCTGGGAAGGAATGAAGAGGCTGAGTCGGAAGATGGATTTGAGTTGAGCCGGCAGCCCCTTGGACTCAAAGTATTCAAACTCCGTCTGCGACTCCCCAAACACCGGCACATAGAGGCAGAGGCAGAGCATCTTTCTGAGCCGGAGACTCAGCTGCCCTGCTCAGACCGACTGGGAAGGGAAGTAAAACTGAATGATTCCCGGAGCTAATTTCAGTGCGTAGTGGAAAGGAAATGCCAGCGAGTCTCATGACACATGCCTATGAGCGAAGCCGGCTCGGGTGGGATTGGCTGTTCAAGCCCTGCCCTTCTACTTAAAAGGGAAGCGGTGGCTGTAAAGTCCCACCCCGACACCGGATTGAACATGTGAGCTCCTGCCCTTGCTCAACACCAGGCTCCCATTAAGCCCAGAGACCTTACAACACACTCACCACAAGTTAACTCTTACCGGGCGTCTCACTTCACCCAAGAGGCTTTGGCCAACCTCCAAGACGCTCGCTGGCTGCTCCTTACATCCGATCCTTTCTGATCCTGGGCTCACCACTCTGGGGATTTACACACGCAGCACAGCAGGGACCGGTTTTGATCATAACCTCTCCCACCACAGAACACGAGAGGACACTCACTGTCTTCCTCTTCCTAAAATTCTTCCTCTAAAACGCAGTAAAAGCAGGGTGCCCCCCACTTACTGCTTTCATACATGTTTGGGATATCAATCTTAAGCAAAAGCCTCAAAACTCCATTTTTATAATGTTACTTTGCTACACCAGAGTTGACCAGCTTTGGTTGGATGTCCTCCCAAAAACACTTGTGCCAGGCAGGAGCAGACAACCCCTGCATACCAAGACCTCTGCAGCTCTCCAGAGTTACTAATACAGGCGGCAATAAAGGCTGTAGAGAAGCCTTGCCATTGTGCTGGATACCCAGAAAACCACTAAAAAAAAAAAAATCAAGGGCAGGCTTCAAAACAGACCCAGCTGCTCCAAAGCCTCCTAGCTAAGCAGCCACACAGCAATTACAACAGCTTACTAGTTTTCCCTCCTCTCCCAACTACAATTAAACATCGCAGGCGGATATGGGCTATAATGAGAAGTGGCCCGGGCAGAACAACATCTTCCAGTTTCTAACCATTTACAGTTTAACTGCTTTGTAAGCGAGCTCCTGAGCTTTCATCAGGAGCAAACTGGGCTAAAGAGGGAGTGTGGCACATGCATCATTTAATGCAGATGTAATTACAGGCTTCTGAGCATTTAGTGGATGTATGGGATCACACCTAGCTCTACAGCGAGAGTACCAAAGCTGCTCGGCACAGAATTACCCACTGCTAACGTGAATTTTAAAATAAAGTTATGGCCTTTCTATTCCTCAAAGAGAAGCTATTGTACAAAGAAGATGCAAAAAACACACGGGCAATAACCAAACCACTATAATCCTGCCTGCACTTGAAGTACCACAGGGTGTTTGCTCAACTGGTTTATGCCAGTCCAGTTAACAGCTTCCCCACCACTGCGGACACAGCAACATTTTCTTGTGTTTGCTCTGTTCAAACAGACTGCCTGGGCAGTGCAAAGTCCAATAAGCCCTCCCTTCCTCAGACCCTAATGCACAAGGGGCCTTTACATCTTTACCGTGGTATTTTGTTCTCTAGAAAAGCCAAGGTCTGTAATAAGCTGTTTGTGGAACTGCGTGTCAATCACACCAATTGGGAATATTTAATCTGGGGCTTTATTTAAAGGATGGTTTTGTGTTGTGGTAGTGGGTTGTTGTTTTTTTTTTTAAAAGCTTAATGGATCACGACTTGCAGCAATTCATTACCCTTGAGAATCGTGACCTACACGGGTTTCCTACGCCCTCCCCCTGTCACCTCACCTACCATGGCACCACCGCCGCGTTACCTAACCAGGCTTAACCTACTCCCTGCTGACGTCTCCCCGCACGGAAACAGGATCTTCTCAGGGACTCCAGATCCTCTTAAAGATCAGCTGCAGCAGCTCACCCCCCAGCACACCCCAGCCTTCCCACCGAGCTACACACCACTGGCCAAAAGCAAACACCTCCCGCAGCCCGGCCGAGGGGAGCAGCTCCCCCCTGCCCACCTCCAGGGAGTAAGGGAACAAACACAACTCAGTTTTGGCCCCACCAAGCCTTAAGATCCTCCGTAGTCCTTCCCACGAGTTGCCAAGCATCACTATTATAGCTGCTTGGCAGCTCAGTTGCTATGCCAACGTGATGCAGATTTTTCCTAATAAACTCTTGTCTAGAGTTGGCAGCTAGAGACAAAAGGCAAAATCTGCACATTTTAGGGAAAAAGAAAAGCCCTGCTACCTACGTCAGAGGAAAGGAGAAAGGTAATGAGGTTAAGAAAGCTGATTTTAAGCAGGGTATTAATTACAGGACAGCAAGCTAAGAAGGGGAGAGAGATTACGAATGAAGTTTATACCAGCAATTCTGGTTATAATGCCTTCAAAAGGCATTAACAAGTATTTAGATTTCACCTAAAAGGAACCTAGAAGTACTCAAAAGCAAGATAGCTCTCGAGAGCTTGGGGGATCAGCGCTGCTTGAACACAATTAGCACAGGGTCATGGCCTAGGGCTGGGGCAGAGGGTGCTGGTCCCACTCCCCCAGCCCCCGGGGCTGTACCGCTGCAGGGTGCTGGCCACCCACCCCAGGGCTCCAGGGGTGAGCCTCGGACAGTACATCCCTCGTTAGCACTGCTATTCCTGATCAACCCAAGGACAGGGCACGGAGCTCCAAATAAAGTCAAGCCCTTTCATGCCATTCCTCCCTGATCCTTCTTCCATCCGCTAATTCTGCCAATGAAGCCACAGCAGGAGCTATACAATTTTGGTCGATGTGAAGCCAGCTGAGCTGATACCCTCCTCTGCTAAGGGGAGCACTAGAGGGGTCCATCTTCCTTCCACAGAAGGCTCGTTTTCCTTGCCACCAAGGAAGCTGCAAACTCATTGTCCATGTTATTTATAGGATTTGGTTCTTATTTAAATGCCACGTGAGTTACCCATTTCAACACCCAGCCATTCCAAGGCTAACCTTTCCAAGTCATTTGTACTCTCCAAGGCATCTGCTTCATCACCAGTTTACTACATCAGCTCCGGAAGGTACCTCCCAAAGGATGGAAGGATGCAGCCATACAAGGAGCAGGAAAGTATGCTGTTTAATTTTGAATTTACTTTGCTAAAAAAAAAAAAAGTGTCTCTAAAAATATCAAGTGCCAGCAAGCGTCACAGCCACATAAGGAACATCCTCCTTCACAAGCAAAACAGCTTTCTGGGCGAGTACATCATGGGCCAGAGAGAGAACCACTATTGCTAGAAGTTTTCACTGAGTCCTGCTGACTTGGTATTTTTTCTATTTTCTGGAAACTAGCTTATGATTAATTGTACAGTACAGAAAGTCCTCACAAATCACAAACAAAGTGTAAAGTGTATGAAGGAGGGGAGTTAATCATTTAAGAGACCCCAGCAGAGTAAAGAGCTGCAGCCAGCCAAGGCTGTGCAAGGGGAAGGAGAGGGGAAGGCAGACAACACAACATGGTATTTGACATAAAGGTAACCAGGAAAGGTGACCTGTTCCACCGACAACACACAGATCCAAAGTTACAAGTCCAGATGGTGACATCAGGGACAGATCATACATCGCTCCTGTGTACACACACCCGGGGCCAACACATCACATTCGCAATCAGTATTTTCTCCCGCATTTGCAAAAACAGCCTCGTGTTGAAACCGTTACCTTCAAGCAAGGACCTGAGCAGGACACACCACCTGCAACGTGAGGACTGAGCAGCCAGGCCTAGGAAGCACCGCAGGTCAAATTTATTTATCAATACATGCAAATTCCTTACAGTAACACAAGCATTCGGGCAGGATATTTTGTGTCCTTTTAGCAGATTTGTATTTACAGGCGTTTTTCCAACACAAAGTGACGTACCAGTCAAGAGACTTCTCCCAAGGTCACAGACATTCAGTGGCAGAGAACAAAAGCTGTGTGTGCCCCCCCCACGTTTTCTTTGAACACCAAATAATACTGTTTGCTTACAGTGGTTTATAATCTACCCCTAAGGCTGTACCAGACTTTTTGCAACTTCTCCTTCAGACAGGTAATTAGAACACAGATATCTGATCAAGCACAAACAAGTCATTGCAGCTTAACGAGTTACTGTCCCTCGGCTGAAGCCCGACGGCTGGATGCAGTATTAGCCGGCCTGAATCACAAGGTAAAACATATCTGCATAATCCTCAACAGAAGAGCTTTACGCTGCGTTTTACTTTACAATCAGGGCAGGCTAAAATTACACAGTCACAACCTCCTAGCAGATGGGCAGTTACTTCCTAAGCCGCAATAACTCCATTTTACCATATCCTTATCCTCTAGGTATTTCTCCATCAGCCAATTTTCGGGTTCCTATGCAGCAAAACTTCCCGGGGTCACACAGGAAAGAGGAGATGGGTATCAGCTCTCAAAGAAAGCTTCATTTGCAGGTGTGAACAGATGGACTCTCCCCGACTGAGGGAGCATTGTTCCCTAGAAGACACCAGAGATTTTCAGCCCTCCACTTTCAAGGCTTTCATCACAACCTCCTTCAGTTCTCAGCCTCTGTCCTCCTTCACCTTCTGCGCACCAAAGTCCTCCTCTTCTCAAAATGCGCACGCTCCTCTTTTTGAAGAGGATGCACAGTGCTAACTGCTAACGACAGGGATGAAGGCAGAAGTCCCTGCAGATTTTTCAGTCTGATTCAAGCAGGGAGTGGCTTCTGCTCATTCCCCCAGAATGCGAGATCCACCCTGCCTGTTTCCATTCAAACCAGCAGAAACGATATTCATCCCCTCTACAACTTGAACCTGTTCATCCCCAATTTTAGAGAGAAAGCTTACAGCAACAATCATGCCTGATTCCTGTTAAATAAACTGGATCCTGCAAGTCATACACCCACCCCTATCCCTGCCACAGCCCTTTAGCATCATCCCAAACTCCCACCACTGGCAGGGGTTATGCCCCGACTCCTTCCTCCCTAATCCCAGGTCACACCCTTGATCTTAAACCACATGTCGTCGGAGCTGACTGCACCGTCCTCAGGAGAGACACACACTGTTCCCTCCCCAGCAAAAATACACCAGGATTTCCACCCGCCAGCACTGTGCTAGGAGCCCAGGCACTAAACTAAGCAGCTTTTGTTCGCCTCCCCCCTCCCCAGACAAAGCCTCACCATTTCTTCTCCGCCAATTGCGGGCACCCACCACCTCCCCGCTCTCCCACCCCTCGGGAACTTCCCATCCTCGCACAGATTTTACTCTCCCTTATGCCACCCGCTCCCCAGGGACAGGCTTTCCTCTCTTCTGGGCTGTGCCATTCAAATAATACAGCCAGTTACTCATTTGCTCAAAATATTCTAGCTTTTCCAGAGCCCTGCCAAATTACCAGAGACCGACTCCGGAACATTTTAGCATCTTCTTGATTCTTTGCCGGTCTCCAGCGCAGGGGTGGGACTCGCCACTAACCTGCAGTATCATTCCCTGCCCTCTCAGTCATGTTTTTTACAAGTTGCCCAGGAACCTTCGAGACCACCGTATTCCCCCTTCCCCCCTAAAACAGCATTTTCCACCCCACACTTTGAATATCATGTCCAAAAGGTTAGATCACCTCCATTCTTCACAGAATTCATTCCCCTGGTCCCCCCCCCACATTTCCCTTCCAGCAATCACACGCCTTGGACCCTGCTCCTCTCCCCCCTCCCCAAATACACACAGACCCCCCCCCCAGCTCCTCACCCACTCCACCTGCAACACCCCTACTCCCAGCAGACCCCACACTCCGCTGCCATGTGCGCCAGCCCCTCCTCAGGCCCCTGGATGTCCCATTACCTTTGGAAAATGCTCTGCGGGTCCAACCACCAGTAGGATAGTTGGTCTCCTTTCAGTGGGATCAGTCCCTCTGTCTTGTGGCTTCCCCA